GTTTATTATGCGATGATGTACAAACAAGTAAATAGATTTTTTTATATAAAAATTGATCTAATTAGGTAGAAAATTATGAACTATTAACAATAGTAAAACTGTTAATTCATTGTGTTAATTGCTGTTACCAACACACATGAAACATGTGTACAAAAAGATTTTACTTTATCATAAAGATATTAACTTCTTTGAAAGTAGTACTTTATTGATGGTTATCTAAATTACGTTCTATTATTTCTATACATGAGATATTATCAAGACTGTTAAGTACTGATACAATTTTAACAAATATTAATATCTAAAGAAGATTACTCTACAAATAAAGCGTAATCCAACAAATACGAAAACAAAATTAAGTACATTTTATATAAATATCATATTACATAAAAATAATACAAATTAGTAAATTGCAACTACGTATACATCTACGTGTACAACACTGTCAAAAATCTTTTAAAAAAAAATTATAATATGGTAAAAGTCTAGAAGTGTTTCAAATATAAATAGGGATGGGACGGGGGAGTAAAATGTACGAAAATCTGTTCATAGACGGTTAACGAACTCACACCAACTTAAAATCAGCATTTTCTTTAACAAAAATCAAGGACTTAAAAAGTGACATGCCGCTGGAAAAGAACGACCGGTGAATTAAAGCGTAACAGCGATCAATGTGCAGCGTGGCATAGTAAACAAAACATTATCATTGAATTAGTGATGCACTTTCTACGCTGCTATAATTAGATAAGGCTAAGCATTACGCAATATCTTCGTACTTTGCCATGGTGACTGTTTACACTTCAGTGTGCCACGGTTGAGACTGCAATTGCGATTGTCGTGTTGCAACGTAAATCTGCCCCCGTATTTGGCTCGCTTTTATTTTGTTTTGTTGCACTCGATACGTCGAGTTTCCCGTCCAGTCTTCACCGTTGCTCACGATGCTACTGAACGTCGCGAAAAATGCACTTCGATGGAAATGCACTTTCCCGTTATATAATGAAAAATTTCAGCCATAATAATCTCCAGTTCTAATCAAGCCGAACACGGAGCCGCTCCTTTACTACCATGATGATATCGATCTTCTTTGTATACAGACAACAATATCCTCGGCACAGATCTCGAATTCGGCAAAGACCACTTATGCAAAGGGATGTTCTACCTGCAAATCTGTGTTATTGGTGTGCACCGCAAAAAAATGCACAAACAAGTCGCAGGATAAACCGGTCCGCAGACAAAATTTGTCCGTGTTTGTGCGCTTAAAGTCCTTGATCGGCTGAAGCGCCAGAACCCGCGATATTTGAATTCGCTTAGATACTAAACAGATTATATCTAGAAAACGCGATAAAACATATAAGTTATATAATTTTATATCGATTCCCACTGATTAGAACTGTTATTTGTGGCCTCAGCTTTCCATTCTCACAATTATAAAACCATATATTTTATTAGTGTACGTATTTAATAAATACATAAAACAATACAATTTTAAAATATCACTTAAAACTGTATCAGCTTTCCGAAAGTTCTTGTAGACAGGAACGCAGATTTTCTAAAAAGATGTCAGCATGATATTCTCCAAAAATCAAACACGGTCTTAATCGAATTGATTTGGTCCCACAGTCTCCAACTTGAATACCTTGTATCAATAAATACGTATTATAAGAATACTTATGACACGTTAATACTTGATGTGTATTCTTAATGTCCTTTTACCTTTGCAACGTATTTGATGCAGCAACTTTTGTTTCATATTTTTACAATTCAGGTCAAACGCAATTATAAAACCTCTACCTCTAACAGCGCTTATAATTTGTGGAAATTCTTGTTGTAATGTATTCAATTGACATAGAATATAATTACCGACCTGACAAACATGATTTAATAAATTTTCTGCCTCAATAGTTTGTAGTACCGCTTCTAATATTAATATTTTGCTTGGATCACCCATCCAAGTATTAAAAATCCTATACGGACGCAGAGGCCTGAAAGAACAGGAAATATTGAAGGAAGGACAGTCCATCGTAAATGCTGAGATGATAGAATAATACACTACATGTATTCAGAAGAATGATAGAAGCCACTTGCTTGCATTTTGTTACTAAAGGTGACAATGTCGGGGGGTGTGTTTAATTCAAAATACTCGTGAGCCCACATTCGGCCTGTTGCACCCCCTCCTGTCTGTATTTCATCTACTATTAAGGGAATACCCCTCTATAAAATTGGAAAGTTCATTACGGCTTTTGTATCGTGAAAATTCAAGTGAAATATTACCTTCTTTGCAATGCTCTGCAAACAATGGAAGAAATCGGGGGAAGCATGTCTATCACCTCCCTCACATTGTATCGCTTCCACTATAATACCAGCTACTGGTGCTGATTTCTCATATTTCTCTATCAGCTGCTCTACCTTGCAAACATAACAATGGTTCTAATCTTCTAAAACGTGTGGATATTAAATATATGTACTTGTTCTAAGCATTTTGCATCCTCTTTTTTATTTTCCTCTTCACATTCGTCTAACGGATACGAATACTGCGGGAAAGGTGCTATTGGCCATGGAAGAGACGGTATGTCGACTTTCATTATGTACTTATAGTGTGTCAACGCCAGTGCAGCAAAAGTTCTACCATGATATCCTCCTAATTATTGTTCATTTGATCAATTTATAATATGATATACTGCAATATACTATGTTAAGGCACCTTCAAAAGATAGAATGGACAATTCAGGACAACCGGGTGGTTCATTAAAGGGGGCACTTTTCTTTTCGTCGTTTGTGAAACTTCCTCCTCGACGGAGTTTCTCCGCGTATTTTATAAATGCAGCTTGTATAGCATGCTCGTTTGCACAAGCACCACACGTGGTTGTAAAAACACATGGCAATCCCTTTGGAGCTACCTAATGAAATTACATGCATGAAGCCATGTATTTTAAGCCATGTATTCCATTATTTTGTCGAGCGTGTCTTACACAAGGTTGAAGCAAAGTATCTTGAAGTTTACACGGCCACTCTAGACCTGGAAAAAGTCCCAATGCTGGTCTATTTGCCATTATTCGCTAAAAAATTTAAATTATATTACATCGATGTTAGTAACAGGTGAAGTAAATAGAACAATTTTTTTATGCGTTTACTTGATTTCCAACACACGATAAGGCACCCAAAATTGACCGATGATTGTATCCAAGAGGGAGGGTAGAAATTTGCATGAACATATCTAAAAAAATATTTCCATCGATATCTGCTAGGTAATTGCCAACTGATCTCTGATAATCTGCGAAGTATTGGATGGAGCCCACTTGCTGGAACATTTTGTAATAAAACTATATTATTGAACATAATTTCAAAGTTAAATATTTATTATGAAAGAATGAAAATTGTAAACCTGAATTTTAGAAAATTCATTGAGGAGAGCTTCTGACCTTGGCCCAGGAATTTCGGTAAGCGTATATGGTTTTGCGGGTTCTCCAGGGAGAGGTGCTTTTGGCATGTTATGAAGTTCTGTAGACATCACTTAATTTTTATGCATTAATTCTCAAAACTAACAGCAACATTATAATTAATGAAGTATAATTTTGAATATATTTACTTTATACTTACGACGGGATTGCGGACGTTTTCGAAAGGTGTACGATACAGCCTTGAACAACATTATGTGGATAATTTTTGTGCTTGCAAACTACTGCTGGCATGGGAAATTGATGTCCATACAACATGTGCATAACGCTTACTTTTGGTTTACATCAAGTAAAAAAGAACGTGTAGATAAAATATACAAAATGATAATAAAATATATGTAATTCTTTCACACGAATGACATATTCTTGCTTTTGTTTTTGACTTATGACAGAAGAAAGTAAACAGCTGTTAATGTGGCCTCCAGTAGTGCTGGTACTTCGAAGTACTTCAAAGAGAAAAGATGAGGATACAAAAATGTTCAGGAGATCCTCTGCATCTATAATAAGTTATATCGTGTAAAAAGAGTTTACTTATTATTGAAAATAGAGAGAAAAAAATAATTTTCGCCGCGTTTGACATAGAGTAAAATGTAATACCCGGTAAGAATCATCTGTTCCATGAAATTTGAAAAGAGCGCCATTTGTTGTATATAGCGCCTCTTGTGGCGACAATTTGAACTAAAATTCAGAGGTCCGTACAGCGCCAATTAGAGCAGTGGCAAAACGCTCAAACTGTTAGCCAAAATCGAGATGTGTATAAGAGACAGCTTTTCTTTTTCGCCACAAGAGGCGCTATTACAACAAATGCATTGTGCGATGGTGGCGCCACTTGTGGCGAAAAAGTGAAGCTTGTTTCGAGGTCCGTACAGCGCCAATTAGGGCAGTGGCAAAACGCTCAAACTGTTAGCCAAAATCGAGATGTGTATAAGAGACAGACTTGGCGCTGTACGGACCTCCGAATTTTAGTTCAAATTGTCGCCACAAGAGGCGCTATTACAACAAATGCATTGTGCGATGGTGGCGCCACTTGTGGCGAAAAAGTGAAGCTTGTTTCGAGGTCCGTACAGCGCCAATTAGGGCAGTGGCAAAACGCTCAAACTGTTAGCCAAAATCGAGATGTGTATAAGAGACAGACTTGGCGCTGTACGGACCTCCGAATTTTAGTTCAAATTGTCGCCACAAGAGGCGCTATTACAACAAATGCATTGTGCGATGGTGGCGCCACTTGTGGCGAAAAAGTGAAGCTTGTTTCGAGGTCCGTACAGCGCCAATTAGGGCAGTGGCAAAACGCTCAAACTGTTAGCCAAAATCGAGATGTGTATAAGAGACAGACTTGGCGCTGTACGGACCTCCGAATTTTAGTTCAAATTGTCGCCACAAGAGGCGCTATTACAACAAATGCATTGTGCGATGGTGGCGCCACTTGTGGCGAAAAAGTGAAGCTTGTTTCGAGGTCCGTACAGCGCCAATTAGGGCAGTGGCAAAACGCTCAAACTGTTAGCCAAAATCGAGATGTGTATAAGAGACAGACTTGGCGCTGTACGGACCTCCGAATTTTAGTTCAAATTGTCGCCACAAGAGGCGCTATTACAACAAATGCATTGTGCGATGGTGGCGCCACTTGTGGCGAAAAAGTGAAGCTTGTTTCGAGGTCCGTACAGCGCCAATTAGGGCAGTGGCAAAACGCTCAAACTGTTAGCCAAAATCGAGATGTGTATAAGAGACAGACTTGGCGCTGTACGGACCTCCGAATTTTAGTTCAAATTGTCGCCACAAGAGGCGCTATTACAACAAATGCATTGTGCGATGGTGGCGCCACTTGTGGCGAAAAAGTGAAGCTTGTTTCGAGGTCCGTACAGCGCCAATTAGGGCAGTGGCAAAACGCTCAAACTGTTAGCCAAAATCGAGATGTGTATAAGAGACAGACTTGGCGCTGTACGGACCTCCGAATTTTAGTTCAAATTGTCGCCACAAGAGGCGCTATTACAACAAATGCATTGTGCGATGGTGGCGCCACTTGTGGCGAAAAAGTGAAGCTTGTTTCGAGGTCCGTACAGCGCCAATTAGGGCAGTGGCAAAACGCTCAAACTGTTAGCCAAAATCGAGATGTGTATAAGAGACAGACTTGGCGCTGTACGGACCTCCGAATTTTAGTTCAAATTGTCGCCACAAGAGGCGCTATTACAACAAATGCATTGTGCGATGGTGGCGCCACTTGTGGCGAAAAAGTGAAGCTTGTTTCGAGGTCCGTACAGCGCCAATTAGGGCAGTGGCAAAACGCTCAAACTGTTAGCCAAAATCGAGATGTGTATAAGAGACAGACTTGGCGCTGTACGGACCTCCGAATTTTAGTTCAAATTGTCGCCACAAGAGGCGCTATTACAACAAATGCATTGTGCGATGGTGGCGCCACTTGTGGCGAAAAAGTGAAGCTTGTTTCGAGGTCCGTACAGCGCCAATTAGGGCAGTGGCAAAACGCTCAAACTGTTAGCCAAAATCGAGATGTGTATAAGAGACAGACTTGGCGCTGTACGGACCTCCGAATTTTAGTTCAAATTGTCGCCACAAGAGGCGCTATTACAACAAATGCATTGTGCGATGGTGGCGCCACTTGTGGCGAAAAAGTGAAGCTTGTTTCGAGGTCCGTACAGCGCCAATTAGGGCAGTGGCAAAACGCTCAAACTGTTAGCCAAAATCGAGATGTGTATAAGAGACAGACTTGGCGCTGTACGGACCTCCGAATTTTAGTTCAAATTGTCGCCACAAGAGGCGCTATTACAACAAATGCATTGTGCGATGGTGGCGCCACTTGTGGCGAAAAAGTGAAGCTTGTTTCGAGGTCCGTACAGCGCCAATTAGGGCAGTGGCAAAACGCTCAAACTGTTAGCCAAAATCGAGATGTGTATAAGAGACAGACTTGGCGCTGTACGGACCTCCGAATTTTAGTTCAAATTGTCGCCACAAGAGGCGCTATTACAACAAATGCATTGTGCGATGGTGGCGCCACTTGTGGCGAAAAAGTGAAGCTTGTTTCGAGGTCCGTACAGCGCCAATTAGGGCAGTGGCAAAACGCTCAAACTGTTAGCCAAAATCGAGATGTGTATAAGAGACAGACTTGGCGCTGTACGGACCTCCGAATTTTAGTTCAAATTGTCGCCACAAGAGGCGCTATTACAACAAATGCATTGTGCGATGGTGGCGCCACTTGTGGCGAAAAAGTGAAGCTTGTTTCGAGGTCCGTACAGCGCCAATTAGGGCAGTGGCAAAACGCTCAAACTGTTAGCCAAAATCGAGATGTGTATAAGAGACAGACTTGGCGCTGTACGGACCTCCGAATTTTAGTTCAAATTGTCGCCACAAGAGGCGCTATTACAACAAATGCATTGTGCGATGGTGGCGCCACTTGTGGCGAAAAAGTGAAGCTTGTTTCGAGGTCCGTACAGCGCCAATTAGGGCAGTGGCAAAACGCTCAAACTGTTAGCCAAAATCGAGATGTGTATAAGAGACAGACTTGGCGCTGTACGGACCTCCGAATTTTAGTTCAAATTGTCGCCACAAGAGGCGCTATTACAACAAATGCATTGTGCGATGGTGGCGCCACTTGTGGCGAAAAAGTGAAGCTTGTTTCGAGGTCCGTACAGCGCCAATTAGGGCAGTGGCAAAACGCTCAAACTGTTAGCCAAAATCGAGATGTGTATAAGAGACAGACTTGGCGCTGTACGGACCTCCGAATTTTAGTTCAAATTGTCGCCACAAGAGGCGCTATTACAACAAATGCATTGTGCGATGGTGGCGCCACTTGTGGCGAAAAAGTGAAGCTTGTTTCGAGGTCCGTACAGCGCCAATTAGGGCAGTGGCAAAACGCTCAAACTGTTAGCCAAAATCGAGATGTGTATAAGAGACAGACTTGGCGCTGTACGGACCTCCGAATTTTAGTTCAAATTGTCGCCACAAGAGGCGCTATTACAACAAATGCATTGTGCGATGGTGGCGCCACTTGTGGCGAAAAAGTGAAGCTTGTTTCGAGGTCCGTACAGCGCCAATTAGGGCAGTGGCAAAACGCTCAAACTGTTAGCCAAAATCGAGATGTGTATAAGAGACAGACTTGGCGCTGTACGGACCTCCGAATTTTAGTTCAAATTGTCGCCACAAGAGGCGCTATTACAACAAATGCATTGTGCGATGGTGGCGCCACTTGTGGCGAAAAAGTGAAGCTTGTTTCGAGGTCCGTACAGCGCCAATTAGGGCAGTGGCAAAACGCTCAAACTGTTAGCCAAAATCGAGATGTGTATAAGAGACAGACTTGGCGCTGTACGGACCTCCGAATTTTAGTTCAAATTGTCGCCACAAGAGGCGCTATTACAACAAATGCATTGTGCGATGGTGGCGCCACTTGTGGCGAAAAAGTGAAGCTTGTTTCGAGGTCCGTACAGCGCCAATTAGGGCAGTGGCAAAACGCTCAAACTGTTAGCCAAAATCGAGATGTGTATAAGAGACAGACTTGGCGCTGTACGGACCTCCGAATTTTAGTTCAAATTGTCGCCACAAGAGGCGCTATTACAACAAATGCATTGTGCGATGGTGGCGCCACTTGTGGCGAAAAAGTGAAGCTTGTTTCGAGGTCCGTACAGCGCCAATTAGGGCAGTGGCAAAACGCTCAAACTGTTAGCCAAAATCGAGATGTGTATAAGAGACAGACTTGGCGCTGTACGGACCTCCGAATTTTAGTTCAAATTGTCGCCACAAGAGGCGCTATTACAACAAATGCATTGTGCGATGGTGGCGCCACTTGTGGCGAAAAAGTGAAGCTTGTTTCGAGGTCCGTACAGCGCCAATTAGGGCAGTGGCAAAACGCTCAAACTGTTAGCCAAAATCGAGATGTGTATAAGAGACAGACTTGGCGCTGTACGGACCTCCGAATTTTAGTTCAAATTGTCGCCACAAGAGGCGCTATTACAACAAATGCATTGTGCGATGGTGGCGCCACTTGTGGCGAAAAAGTGAAGCTTGTTTCGAGGTCCGTACAGCGCCAATTAGGGCAGTGGCAAAACGCTCAAACTGTTCGCCAAAGTACCAACAGTCGATTTTGGCTAACAGTTTGAGCGTTTTGCCACTGCCCTAATTGGCGCTGTACGGACCTCGAAACAAGCTTTTCTTTTTCGCCACAAGAGGCGCCACCATTGCACAATGCATTCATCTATGATAAAGAACTGTGTATACT